AGAAACTGTGAATAGGAATTGGCACAGTCATTTGGTTTAGCAATCTCTGGCTTTTTTGATTGCACATACGAAGAGTAAGAAAATGCTTAAATGTGCTTCCGTAGCTCTATACTAAGAATTAAAAAGGGTCAAAGTCACTATCTTTGAAGAGAGTGCAGTTTTGTAAAGTACCGGATCAAGAGTCCAATGATTTTATCATGCATGTCTAATATGCATTTCTCAATCATTGAAAGAATGCATACACAGCATATTTACTTTCAATATGCTTAGTATTTAAATTTCTTCCAAAATATAACAACTATACTATTACCTAGTATCTTAAGAGATTATACACATTCGGCACCATCTGCTTGCTAATGGTCCCAAAACAGTGACAGTAAGTTCATATACCAAGTGCTCTTAAAGGGAATTACTTTTTTAGTGAATGCTTGTCAGTTATGAATAAATCTTGTAAGAAAAGAGAAATGATTTTTTCTTCCCTTTAGTAGTTTTTAGTCAGAATGGACCTCTATAATGAAAGAGATTAAAAACAGAAAAAGAAAATCATCCTTTCTCGTATATTAAAATAACATCTGGGGGTCTACTTTACAGCTATTAATCAGAAATTTCCTAGCAGATAGGAAAAGTGAGAATAAAGTAGAAAATAAGAATTTAAGAGGGGGCAGGGATTTAGCTCAGTGGCACTGCACCTGCCTTGCAAGCGCAAGGTCCTGAGTTCAGTCCCGAGCACCAAAAAAAAAAAAAAAAAGAATTCAAAGATTTAGGTTTTGGCTCTCATTCTCTTATCTCTTTTCTCTCTCTCTTTCTGCCCCCCATACCAATGACTCCTTTGTATACAGATATATGAATATTTGAGCACTACCAACTGTATAAACCTTTCAGACTTTATGTCACTAAGATCTCAAATTACAGTTTTATGTTTACAGAACAAATTTCTATAGCAATGTTTCTTAGCCCTGGTGGCACATTTAGACCACCTGGGGAACTTTTCAAACCTACCCATGCCAAGTCCCCACCCAAGAACAATGAAACCGGAATCTCTGGGGGTAGAACTTTCATGAGTCTCAGATGGTTCTAACATGGAAAGAGTTTTGAAACCACAGGCCTGGGGGTGGGGGTGGGGATACACTACTCTTTCCACTGATAGCATTCCAATTGTTTTAGTGCTTGTGCTTTTCATTATAAAATATAAAATTAATATTCTTGCTCATATTTCATATTCTTTCCATGTTTCTTAAATCCACTCAAACTCTAGGATTCTCATCAAGCCATAATCATGAGGAGTGCAGCAAAATATCAGAGCATGAAAGGCAGTGGCATAACTGAATAATCTCCACCCCACGCTACCTCCTCGCCTTTCCTCTCTTTACCCTTATGATTGAATGTAACTCATTTAGACTCTAATTTTGGTTAGTTTTGTTGAATTAATTATAATAAAGTGATGGCTACAAATCTCAATCTTCAAAAATAAAAGCACTTTGAGAGTAACCTAATTGAGCTTTTAGATCTAACTTTCAATTCATAATAAATATGAAATGGCAGAGGAACAAAATAAGCATCTATAAAAATTTTAGACTAATTCAGAAGGTGTACATTTCATAGTATAACTAAACTGTCTCCTCAATAAATCATTATTATGAAAACAAAACAATAAACAAAATGAAATATTGTTATGACATTTAAAGAAAGAATGTTTTAAATTAAAAGAAATTTTCCAATGATGAATGTCATTATATTGTATACCTAAAATGTACCAATTATTAGAATGAATAATTGATAATGTAAAATAGGAAGAAAAGGTCCAAAG